CCGGTGTCACGAGGGTTAGGGGTCGACGCAACTGGTGGTTGGCAGTGGCAGTAGTCGGCAGAAGAGGAGAAGTCGACAAGAGGCAGAAATAGTCGGCGGGTCATGCCAATGTTAGACGAAATGAGTTACTCTGGCAAGTTGTCCAGGTGAACTAGACACCTTTCCATTTATATTCATTTCTATACTTAGTCATTTTACAAGAGAAAACTGTCGGAGAGAGTTTTGACCCCAACAATATTATAAAAAGTTATGATCTAGTCACCTTATTAAATAAATGTGTTCAAAATGAGAAGAAAATTCACTGAAAAGGGATGAAATATTTGTGGCAATTATTTAGGTTCTATATATATTGGTATTGATATTGATATTTGATTAGAAGATGCTTCCACTGAGCAAAACGTCTTTGCAACCGACACTGGGATGACGTTAGCTGCGGGTTAATTATTGTGACATTACTATAAAAAATTATTATATAATCTATTGTTTTAATTCAAGAATGCGATATCATTTTCTCTTCTATGACTTATTAGCATGTTTTCTTAGACTATAACGAATTTCAGACCTAATCATATTTCGGACCTAATCATAGAGTGATAAACTTAAATTTGATTGTGCCACCGTATATGGCAGTCTTGAATTAATTAGGTAGAATAAAAAAAAAATGTGTCACTTTTTACTTATTACATAAAACTAATCGTTTTTTCATATCAGTTTCAGACGTAGTAAAATTAAATAGCAAATAAAACACTTAGTAAATTTTGCTATAATTTCTACCGTAGGTTTCCAAAATGTTTTATAGAATTTTATGTTAAAAATATTAATATTATAACAAAGAAACACTAAAAATATCATTTAATGATATAATATAACTTGAAAAAATCGTTATCGAGGAACTAAAAGAAGTATTGTTTTGGTGTCAACCCTTTGCCCCTATTTGCGGACAGAAATTGACCAAATATCAAATTGTGATGGTAAGAGGTTTATACTTCTTACCAAAAGGTGTCGATCAAGGAAAAGTTTTGATTAAGAAACAGAAGTGTTTCTATTAAACATTGACAATATAATTTAGCAAAAGAAAAACAGTGACAATATACAATAATAGTTTGGTTTATGCTTAATTTTATAAATAATTCTCGCCTACCAGCGTATGTAAGGGTATCTATTTCCCACGTTGAACAAAGCAATTGAGTCAACTATGTATTTAAAAATGGTGGACCAATCATGTATGTGACTAATTTCTATTCATTTTTTTGTTTGTTTACTAATCACACTTATACGTTTTCCGATCGGAATTGTTAGTAATTACTAACAGCATCACTAATACACACAAACACACAGTTAAACCAGAATCACCGGTTGTCCATTTTAAATGATGTTTTGTGACTAAAATCATTTGGTTGCAAAGAAAATCCCAAACTAAACCTCGAGAAAGGGAGACAAAAGCCTTCAGATTTTCTTTGTAACCAAATGATTTTACTCTTACTTTCGAACTAATCATCGACGTCTACATCCGTCATACACAAACTATCTACTGGCAAGAAAAAGAAGTATCAAGTCGAGATTAATCTCTAATCTAGAATAAAAAGACAATATATATAATGATTATTAGAGATCTGTACAAATAAGGTCTCTAGAGGCCAAAAACTGAAGAAGAAGTATTGAATAGAGATTGATCTCTAATCTAGAACATAAAGACAATCGTCATGATTCGTGAAACTACCATCACTTGTTTATTTTTGGGTCTTACTTGTTAACTACTACTACATATTTCTCAGTTTTCACAATTAAATCATTTTTTAGTGCCTAACTACGTATAAAATTAGAAGTTTTCACAGTTCAATCTAAAGTTTAATTCAAGTTCCATTGATAATTAATAATTAAATCCAAAGATAATTAGTAAGAAAATTACTCTTTATTTAAAATTTTGTTATTCAGATAAAAATATACTTTAACTAAATTAAGACTCACTTTAGTTTTATTTGGAATTTTTTTCCGATTTATCTGAATTGAAAACCTCTAGCTAAAACTGCAAACCACACAGGGTTGAAAACCATGGATGGAGTTGGTGGATTTATTTAAGACTATAAATTGAGATTTCTGTAAACAAGCAACCGCTACCAATTAGTGAGAATATTTACCTGTTCGACAATCTTTTATTTATAACTGGCATCCGCGTTAATATGTGGATAAATACAACAAAAA